AGAGAGAGGGAAAGAGAGAAAGAGAGAGAGAGAGAGGGAAAGAGAGAAAGAGAGAGAGAGAGAGAGAGAAAGAGAGAAAGAGAGAGAGAGAGAGAATCGTCCCGCGGAACAAAGAGAGTTTTCGTGTTGCCTTTACCAAACGCGTTACCATCTTTGTAACTCTGCCGACGGTATCTGTCCCCGTGCACCCCGCTCGCCACCCGAAGCTCCGCATTGACTTCGCGATCTCCGTTATCAGGGCCGCCGTCGTACGCCCGGATCGTCCTCGCGATCTCGTCGTCGGCCGGGCGGCGCGCGATCGCGGCGGCGCTCGTCATCGCGACGATCGACGCGATCAGCGGGATCCAAAACGGCACCTGGAATAATCGGAGAAACGAGCCACGATTACATAATCGCGTTAGGATAACGCGCGCGAGGGAAAAATAGAGCGCCGCGTCTCCCGCGCCGGAATTTCCGCGACGTGACGCGAATTTTTCCCGCGGTCGAGACGCGCCGCACCGCGCCGGTGTACACTCTTATTATACTTCGCGACGCGTGTGCCGTACCTTCGAGTCCATCAGTATTCCCGGAAATCGCATATCGTGCTCCCCTAATGACGCGACGACAGACTAACGGCGCGGCGAACGTTCGCGCGGGCTTTTATACGGAAAATATTCGACAATTACGTGACACTTTCTTGCGATCCGCGAGGAACGTTATCCAATCGCGACTCGGTCAATTAATCGGGGACCCGATAATCCATTGTAGGACACCGGTGACTGCAAAATCCGTGCCGAGCGAATCGAAGCGATTTTTGCGATTTTTCGCGATTCGCCGGCTGGGTATTTGTTCGGGTACATTTTTCCCCGTCGACGTGCTTCGCGGGTACTTTCTAAACGTTTCTTCGGCCCGAGGAACAATCCCGATGCTGAGAAGAGAGTGTGCCGGTTTTACGATTGTCTGATTGCGAGCGTCGGAGAATTTTTAGCGAGTCAGTAGGAGGAATGATGACGGATCGCCGTGTCTGGGAATTTAACGTCGGTAAATGTTCGCGCGATCGCAGTAAATTCTCCGCAATTGTCCTTCAGTGTATAAACGAAAATGGAGAATTTGGGAGGAGGAGGTACGATTATTGGAGCTGCAAGGCTCGTTTTTGCGGCCGCCGATTGTCAATGGCTGTGAAAACGGACCGCAAAGCTCGAATAATCGTACTTCTTATCATTATTTTGGCGGAATTTGGAAATTTTTAGGACGCTGGAACACATTTTAAAACGCAATAAATATTTTTAAACTGAACTAAATGAATCGAATTCTTTTTAGATGATGGAAGAACTATTTTAATTGACGATGACGGAAATGCTTTTTTTTTAAATTTTGCTATTACTTAGAGTGAAAAGAAAAAAATTAAAAACCCTCGCTTTTTAACATTTTTATTTGAGCCTGTAACGAAAATTTAGAAAATGCCTTTCGTAGATCTCGGTAACTTATATGCATGTTGAAAATTTTATCGAAATCGGTTCACGTTGTTACGAGTTACAACAAATTAAAGATCGCAAAAATCACAGTTTTATCACGATTTTTACCGAAAACTGTAAGAAATCTGCAGTTTTTTAAATCCTTCGGCTCTGGTTTAACCGATTTCGATGACATTTTCAGCACGTATATAAGTTACCGAGATCAACAAAAGGCATTTTTAAAATTTTCGTTATAGGCTCAGATAAAAAAGTTAAGAAACGAGGATTTTTTATTTTTTTCTTTTCATTCCAAATAATGGAAAAATTAAAAGAGAAGCTTCTCAGCCATCATCTAATAGACTCGTCCCTCTGTCGTCCAAAAAAAATTCAAATCATTTAGTTCAGTTTTCAAAAAGTTACTTATATTTATTTATTTATTTATTTTAAAAGGTGTACGAACGCTTTTGTGGCTCACTGAACTTGGAAAGAAATGTTCTACTTTGCAACGTAAATTCCCTCATTACTTGAAAACTTTTGTAAAGATCTGCAACAGCGTTTATAACAACAAAGGAATCATTTGACAGCAAAGTTATGCTGCAAGATCCTCGAAAATGTTTGCTGTCCTTTCTGTTGCACGTGAGAACCGCGTGTATGAATTCGTGATAAAATTAAAACTAAATTACCGTAAAATTAAGAATAAATTACCGCGAAATTACAAATAAATTACCGTAATTTCATGCTCCGGAACAGTATTTTTGTTCTCCCATTACGAAGAGCAAAAGAATGGCACGAAGAAGCTTCCGCTTAAATTAGAATCGCTCGACGAGTTGCAAAATACTTTGAAAATATACAAGAATTTTTATTCAATCGCACGATTTCCCAGAATTTATTTTAACACCGATCGTCGGACAAGGTTTTCACGATGAACGGTCCCTTTTTAGTTGGAACGTCGAAAATGTTCTCGACGAAGCAAACACACGCTGAATCCGTCGGTGATATGCAACGAAAATAACATAAAAAAAATTTTAATATCCTGTAATCTGCACTCCTCTTTTTCTCCCTCTCGAATTCGGTACGAAAATTAGCGCGATATTAAAATTCAGTATCTCGAAGATAGCATTCACGTTAAATTAAAAAACTTCGTAAACTCGTTTTAAAAGGAAAGTACCAGCGAATGGAAAGTTTCCGCTTAAAGAATTATCATGCTGCTTTGTAATTGAAGCATGAACATTCTTTCGCATTAAAGCGGACACGCCGCGAAGCCTGGCGGTAAACAAAATACACGAAATATTCGTAATTGTAAAGGTTTCCGTTTCTCTGCGAACCCGCGGCGTTGATATTTTTTCAAGTTTCTAGCGAAAGAATTTCGTTTCTCGCGGAGATCGCGATTCGATCGCGAACAGTTTCGCCCGAAATTCTAGGAAAAATACCGCGGTCTTTCGCGTTTATCTGCCGTCGATTCCGAATGATTTTTAGCGACAATACCCGGCCCACGTTGATTAGAAACACCGCGCTAAATGATCCATCGTTTCGATTAAACGCGACGAGTGACCGGTTCGACTGTTTCATTCGATTTAATTAAATGTACACAGGCGCGATACTTTAACCGTGGCGGATGATGAAAGAGCACGCGCCGGGTCGACGAGATGCCTTTGTGGAAAATCAAATTTTTTATCCGAGCCGGAAAGCTCGATCGGAGTTGCGGCTTTCACTTGTAAAATAACACCGGCGCGGACTCGTGTGCCGGCAATCAACCACGAGATTCAGATGTGCCCGTTCTAAAGAGAATATTCGATGCTTTCCGCGTGCTATCCGAATCCGCTTTGATGCTTCGCAATATTTATTGTTGGTGAAAAGCGAACGGTTATTACTACGCCACCGCGGGAAAATTATTAATTGCTCGATGAAACACTTGTAGATATTCGTTTTCCATTACGGAAATATATTCGATGTCGGAGATGCACGGTAATGAATTATTTCGTGATTATTCGTGTTATCGATTGTTTAGTAAATGTAATCGTTAATCATGAACATGATTATACTAAATACTTTGTTATATACTATATACTACTAATATATACTACTATATACTACTAATAAATAATACTATATAATTTGTTCGTCTGCTTCTTGTTAATCTAAATTAATAATTGACATAACCTTGACATAACCCTTTGCACTGGAGTGGTGACTCTGAGAGACCACTAAAATTTGTTATGTCACGTTCTAAGGTAATCTTTATATTAACAAAGTTATGTCAAGGTTATGTTCTGCTTCTTATTGGTCTAAATTAACCTATTAACCCTTTGCACTCGAGTGGTGACTCTGAGACCTGTCTCTTATACACATCTAGATGTGTATAAGAGACAGGGGTTAATAGGTTAATTTAGACCAATAAGAAGCAGAACATAACCTTGACATAACTTTGTTAATATAAAGATTATCTTAGAACGTGATATAACAAATTTTAGTGGTGTCTCAGAGTCACCACTCGAGTGCAAAGGGTTAATAGGTTAATTTAGACCAATAAGAAGCAGAACATAACCTTGACATAACTTTGTTAATATAAAGATTATCTTAGAACGTGATATAACAAATTTTAGTGGTGTCTCAGAGTCACCACTCGAGTGCAAAGGGTTAATAGGTTAATTTAGACCAATAAGAAGCAGAACATAACCTTGACATAACTTTGTTAATATAAAGATTATCTTAGAACGTGATATAACAAATTTTAGTGGTGTCTCAGAGTCACCACTCGAGTGCAAAGGGTTAATAGGTTAATTTAGACCAATAAGAAGCAGAACATAACCTTGACATAACTTTGTTAATATAAAGATTATCTTAGAACGTGATATAACAAATTTTAGTGGTGTCTCAGAGTCACCACTCGAGTGCAAAGGGTTAATAGGTTAATTTAGACCAATAAGAAGCAGAACATAACCTTGACATAACTTTGTTAATATAAAGATTATCTTAGAACGTGATATAACAAATTTTAGTGGTGTCTCAGAGTCACCACTCGAGTGCAAAGGGTTAATAGGTTAATTTAGACCAATAAGAAGCAGAACATAACCTTGACATAACTTTGTTAATATAAAGATTATCTTAGAACGTGATATAACAAATTTTAGTGGTGTCTCAGAGTCACCACTCGAGTGCAAAGGGTTAATAGGTTAATTTAGACCAATAAGAAGCAGAACATAACCTTGACATAACTTTGTTAATATAAAGATTATCTTAGAACGTGATATAACAAATTTTAGTGGTGTCTCAGAGTCACCACTCGAGTGCAAAGGGTTAATAGGTTAATTTAGACCAATAAGAAGCAGAACATAACCTTGACATAACTTTGTTAATATAAAGATTATCTTAGAACGTGATATAACAAATTTTAGTGGTGTCTCAGAGTCACCACTCGAGTGCAAAGGGTTAATAGGTTAATTTAGACCAATAAGAAGCAGAACATAACCTTGACATAACTTTGTTAATATAAAGATTATCTTAGAACGTGATATAACAAATTTTAGTGGTGTCTCAGAGTCACCACTCGAGTGCAAAGGGTTAATAGGTTAATTTAGACCAATAAGAAGCAGAACATAACCTTGACATAACTTTGTTAATATAAAGATTATCTTAGAACGTGATATAACAAATTTTAGTGGTGTCTCAGAGTCACCACTCGAGTGCAAAGGGTTAATAGGTTAATTTAGACCAATAAGAAGCAGAACATAACCTTGACATAACTTTGTTAATATAAAGATTATCTTAGAACGTGATATAACAAATTTTAGTGGTGTCTCAGAGTCACCACTCGAGTGCAAAGGGTTAATAGCTGTCTCTTATACACATCTAGATGTGTATAAGAGACAGCTATTAACCCTTTGCACTCGAGTGGTGACTCTGAGACACCACTAAAATTTCTTATGTCACGTTCTAAGATAATCTTTATATTAACAAAATTATGTCAAGGTTATGTCAAGGTTATGTTGAAGTTTAGATTTAAAAAATTGTTAAAAATGTAACTGTTGTAGCGAGTCACAAGACTCAATTTCATATGCATAAAATGCACTTCGTCATATAAAATAAAAATGCTATAAGTCAGAAAAATGATTTTACATTTAGAGTTAAAATAGCTTCGAGTGCAAAGGGTTAAATGCGATGAAT